ACGGAAAGAGAAATGTGACTAGCGTGGTTGTCTATTTTTACAGCTTAAGTCCCGTTAATAAATGATGTACGAGTAATAAAACAAAAAATACCAATTGCTTGCTTATACTATTTAATACTGTAATGACTATCAGTCTTTGCATAATAGCCTTAAAAAAGTCTCATCTTAAATCTTAAAAAAAAACATATTTTGAGATTAACGTAAAATAAAATTAGTTACATATTACTGTTTTCAAAGCAGTCAGAACAAACCATAACAGCATGTTCTAAACAAAAATATTTGCTACAAGCGGCGCAGTTGTTTTTCTATTTTTTTTTTTGCATAATTCATTGAGCCTCAGCCTCAGTGTCCTTGGCAGAGAAAGAGTGAGAGCTCGTCGCCTGAGGTGAGGATTTAGTAAATCGTAAGACAATGTTTCCAAAAACATTCTGCGGCTAATCTTCTTGTTAGCATTATGCAATTGGTACAAAACAAACGAATTGATTCCTGCCACGTTCATCAAACTATAAAATATTACCATAGGCCACCTATTTGTGCCTCGAGCGACATTTTGTCGACCGTGTCAACTTCGCCTTTAGGCGCATTATACGAATATTCCAAGACTATTTGTGGTTTGCCTGTCTCTTCGTCAATACTTTCATCATATTACTGTGCGACGGTGTTCGTTAATTCGCAAGTTGTTTGTCACGCATTGGCCCGGACATGTTATTTAAGACCTTAAGCAGTTCACATAAGTATCAATTTGCTGACATTAGTTGGTGCTGGCGATGGAATGGAGTGTGTCTCTTCAACGGAAGCTTGATTACGCTGCTCTTGTGACGAATGATTTGTTCGTAGTGGCAACGGCTCACTATCATTTTAGATTTGTAAGACTAAGTTATAAATGGAAATTTTACTATGAAGTCGTCTGCATTCCGTGATTTTTTAATCTCTTTAACGACTGATAAACAAAACAGCTTGTCTTCATCGTCATCCAAAAGAAGGATATAAAACATTTTTCTGTGCTTAAACTGCTTATTTTTGTCTCTTACTCTTAATTTAGTCGTCAGACTATCTTCCTTGACTACAGGTTGATGAGAAATATAGTACTTCCCGAAGATCCATTCCTGCCGGGGCACAGGAACAGACGTCGGCGCAATCGATGGTAACAAGAACAATGTCGGTTTGACGTCTGATGTTGTATTCAATGGACGAGACTAACAACGTCGTCTACTTAATTAGAGCTAGGTAACTGATAGATATGGGGAGTCCCAGAAACAACGCTTGCTCAGTGCAAACTAGTTTATTGACGTCACGTCCACTTAGCGTTCGGGCGCAGCCGACTGTTCCTTTACTAACTTTTCGCGTATTTTTTTGTGTAACAAGCCATACGTCATGTCTAGTTGTAGGTTTTCTGTGAGAGAATGTGGCGGATGTTGCGAGAACAATGCTCTGATGTGACAGAGGAATAAATGTGTTTGTCAGTTAATCCGCTGTTCGCGTTCATAAATGATGGAAAATGGATTTAAAGTTTAGCAAATAAAAGATTTAAGCCAAAATTGTATATCAAAATGCACCGAATATGTACTTAACGGCATCGGAATTGTCAAGATTAACGGTTATACTCCTTATTATAGAGCTAAAATCGTTTACAAGTTTCTGGAGAATGACTAACTGCTTTGACACTTTATGAAGTTCGTACAAAGAGTAGGTGTCGTTGTCTAATCTTGTCGGTCCAAGTTTGTCCTTGTCCGTCGTCAACAGCAGGATTTGGTGATCGGATGGCTGGATTCTCCTCTGGCGTGCAGAAGGTTCATTGCTGGATACTCGTAGATTTGGACTGGAAAGTCGCACGGCCCGCCCGCGATGATCTTCTGTTCTTCGAAGACTTTAAAGCTCGCAAATTGCCCTCGAGTATCTCCCACTGCGTCAATTATGTTTGCCACAGACGAAGGTTCAAAAATTCCAATTTTGGATTACCACGGGGTCAGTTTGGAGAGTTCCTCCGAAGAGTTACACATACAGAACATTATTAAATGCTTTTTTCGCCAAGGATGCTACGTCGTAATGAGGTTATCTTCACTGCTGGATGGCCGTGTACACATAAGTCACATTCTTTTTTGTAGGTCATTTTGATCGGGCCAAAAAAAAACAAACGTCAAGGGGCGGTGTTCTATGGGGCATGTGTGTTGGCAGGGACAACATATAAATGTGATTGGACTTGCAATATTCGTAGACGGAAAGAGAAATGCGACTAGCGTGGTTGTCTATTTTTACAGCTTAAGTCCCGTTAATAAAGGATGTACGAGTAATAAAACAAAAAATACCAATTGCTTGTCAATGACTATCAGTCTTTCCATAATAGCCTTAAAAAAGTCTCATCTTAAATCTTAAAAAAAAAACATATTTTGGGATTAACGTAAAATAAAATTAGTTACATATTACTGTTTTCAAAGCAGTCAGAACATACCATAACAGCATGTTCTAAACAAAAATATTTGCTACAAGCGGCGCAGTTGTACCGTGTTTTTCTATTTTTTTTTTGCATAATTCATTGAGCCACAGCCTCAGTGTCCTTGGCAGAGAAAGAGTGAGAGCTCGTCGCCTGAGGTGAGGATTTAGTAAATCGTAAGACAATGTTTCCAAAAACATTCTGCGGCTAATCTTCTTGTTAGCATTATTCAATTGGTACAAAACAAACGAATTGATTCCTGCCACGATCATCAAACTATAAAATATTATCATAGGCCACCTATTTGTGCCTCGAGCGACATTTTGTCGACCGTGTCAACTCCGCCTTTAGGCGCATTATACGAATATTCCAAGACTATTTGTGGTTTGCCTGTCTCTTCGTCAATACTTTCATCATCGTGCATGCTGGACAAAAGTAAGACATTCTTGCCTTTTTTTAGGTATATACTAGCGGACCCGACAGACGTTGTCCTGTCTACACGTCTTTAATTTTAAAATTTCAAACTTTTTTTACTAAGCTATGTTGCCGACAGATACGGAACTTTTTACACGTTTTTATTCATAATTGTTGTTGTTGAAGCGGACCATGCGAGGCGGCTCGCGGACATTGAGCTAGAGTTAATTAATAAAAAATTATCCGCGGAGAAGTCTGCATCTGATAAAAGAATGCAGGCAGAGCTAGAGGCGGTTGAGGCTGGCTCTAGCCGCGGGTCAAACCGCGGCAGCCGGTCTATCCATTCAACCGTCGATCAATGACTCGAGGGTATCCCTAGGCCGTTAGAGCCTGCAGCTATTTTTGCTCAAGAGCCCTCACAACCTGCATCCTTTTCTTCAGCGCCATCTCATATTCAGATAAGCACCACTGCGCCGTTGTCGCCCCGTGCCATCGAGCACGGCGACATCGCCCTTTTACATAAAGCAACAACATCAGGTATTCCCCATGTCTTCCAAGCGGGAGACGCCATACAGGCACATCCGCAGGCATGGGGTCCATACGGTACCAATGTCGCTGCGCCTCCAGGCCCTCTTCCCACCTTCCAAGAGGTAGGCGTCACATCGGCGCCCCCTTAGGCCGGGGTTTTCTTTAGCAGGGGGCGGGCATGATTCAGTGATAATACAATGATTGATTACATCTGACGAATTAGCATTGCCCTTTTTAAAGACCCGTAAAGAACCCAGCCTAAGGAAGTCTGAACCGCTATGGGCTGACGGCAGGATATCCTCGACGAATACATTGAGGGATGGTGATTTCCCAATTGTCGATACCTATGAGTAAAGTAGGGACAGAGTCGTCTTCGTAACAGATAACGTCAGCTAAATCTGCGACGTAACTTATACGTTCTACCTCATCTTTTGGAATAGTTTGACGCTGTAGATTAAGGTTTGGAATAGTTCTAACATTATTTAAATCAAAATGTTTCGTAGAGAACTGACCTTTAACGCGAAGGCCTATAAAACTAACATCGGTTTCGGTGGACATACCGCTAACAAGCTAAAACATTCTGGACCATTTTGATGAAAATTATTATTCAAATGTTATGACAATATCTAACGTCATTACATGTAAATTTATTACAATTAGACTAATCGATAGCGTGTGAGTATGTGTAATGGGAGTACCGACGCGACGTTAGACCGTGCAGCAGCGCTGCAGTGTAATCGGAACTTCTAAAATATAAAAGTAGTGTTTGGAAGTAATATATTTTCGAAGTTTCGTTATTAAAGTAACTATTTCGCCAAAGTAAATAAAAACATTATACTTTGTTTAAGCCAAAATTATTTATTTAATGAAAAAACAACATTTATTACTGTGCGACGGTGTTCGTTAATTCGCAAGTTGTTTGTCACACATTGGCCCGGACATGCTATTTAAGACCTTAAGCAGTTCATATAAGTATCAATTAGCTGACATGAGTTGGTGCTGGCGATGGAATGGAGTGTGTGTCTTCAACGGAAGCTTGATTACGCTGCTCTTGTGACGAATAATTTCTTCGTAGTGACAACGGCTCAGGATCATTTTTGATTTGTAATATTTTAATTATAAATGGAAATTTTACTATAAAGTCGTCTGCATTCCGGGATTTTTTAATCTCTCTAACGACTGATAAACAGAACAGCTCGTCTTCATCGTCATCCAAAAGAAGGATATAAAACATTTTTCTGGGCTTAAACTGCTTATTTTTGTCTCTCACTCTTAATTTAGTCGTCAGACTATCTTCCTTGACTACAGGTTGATGAGAAATATAGTATTTCCCGAAGATCCATTCCTGCCGGGGCCCCCCTTCTTCATATGATTCCATGTTAAATATTTCTCCGTCAAGTCGTTGAGTTGCTTATGTAAATGTCCTTTTGACTATCCTAATTGAACCGCTATCCCTGCGGTAACATGTTTAAATGGTATTTGCACCGTGGTCGCCTACTAGGAACAGACGTCGGCGCATTCGATGGTAACATGAACAATGTCGGTTTGACGTCTGATGTTGTATTCAATGGACGAGACTAACAACGTCGTCTACTTTTTTGAGGCCGTCATCTGTTATCATCCCACCTCAGAGTTCACGCATTCTTCGCAGTAGTTGCGAGGGCTTCTGGTCACCGAGCTCTAAACCGCTGATAAGTTGTTGAAAATTCTTCACTTCGGATTTATCGTACACTGCGAGTAGGCGGTTTTTTATGGCTTGATATTTTTTTGCCTCCGGCGGGTTGTACATAATATCCGTGAGATGTCGCAGGTCCGTTGCTTGGAGTTGTTGCAGAACGAAGCGAAATTTTTGGTCATCCGATGTTTTTAGCGGCTCCACCACGGCTTCGAATTGAATGAACCATGCCCGAGGAATTTCCCGCCAAAATGGTAGTAATTTCGACTGGATGGATTCTCTTGCTAGGTCTAAGCTTGGTGACGATGCTTGTTGGCTTGTATCTTGATTCGAACAGCTTTGTTGATCTTCCATGTTTCAATCACATCGGGGTCACCAATGTGGGAGGGGAGGCCTTCACTACTGTCGATATTTGCGGGAAGAATAACACTCGGAGTCCAGATTTGTAATAATGTATTTTCTAATTTCTTAACTATTTATACAACTTATGTGCTACGTGCTTACTGGCTAAAATATGTACACCAATTAAAAACTAAGTTTTTAGACCAATCCGGAAGAGACACTAATTAATAGCTAATTACAATGAGAGTGAGTGAGAGGTGATTTTCTCTGTCACACATTCTTGCGCGTTCCGCACAGAGATAGCGATATGCTGCTTATGACCTCCAATATCTTAATCAGAGCTAGGTAACTGATAGATATGCGGAGTAACAGAAACAACGCAGTGTCCTTGGCAGAGAAAGAGTGAGAGCTCGTCGCCTGAGGTGAGGATTTAGTAAATCGTAAGACAATGTTTCCAAAAACATTCTGCGGCTAATCTTCTTGTTAGCATTATTCAATTGGTACAAAACAAACGAATTGATTCCTGCCACGTTCATCAAACTATAAAATATTACCATAGGCCACCTATTTGTGCCTCGAGCGACATTTTGTCGACCGTGTCAACTCCGCCTTTAGTCGCATTTTACGAATATTCCAAGATTATTTGTGGTTTGCCTGTCTCTTCGTCATGTCCTTTTTTTTCTTCCATTATCTTTTTTTTTGTTTTCATAATTTGTTTCATTCAATAAAGGTTTTTGTGTTGTCGTTTGTTTGTTACTTCATTACTCTTTTATGATGTGTACACATATAATTGGGAGAAGTTATTATGTGTTTTCTGTTTGTTATAATTTTTTTTTCGCATGTCTCATAATTTACCTGTTGGTGTATTATAAATAAATAAGTGGGGCCCCGGGTGTCTGGTCCCCTAGCCTACACGAGGCGACGCTGCTCATGACTGATACGGGAGGAGGGGAGGTGCCTAAAGTAGTGGACCCTGGAGTTGGCTGATGCGGGGTTCGAAGTCCCGTTGGCACATTCCTTTATTTTGCGGGGCGAAACGCGTGATTTCCATCACTTCCGTTCCGTTAATACCGACATTTGGGCACTTTGCCCGAATGAGTGGGAGGGCGGGGTGGTCTGGCTTGTGAGCGGGTTTGCTGGATCTTCGGATTTGGTATGCGCAACGTTCCTTGTCTAGGGGACGGAACCCGTGCGAGGTTCGGGGGTTAAAGCCCGAATAGTCCTAAAGGGTCCCATCGAATCGGCTTCTGTCGTGTGGTGGCGACCTAAGTCCAATCACTTACTTCGGTTAGGACGTACGAAAGTGATGGGCGCTCCCGACGATTGGGTTTGCACCCCAATCGTCAATGGGCAAAACACAACAAGCAATGAACAGGAAAAAGGAAATTTTACCTGGTCACCCCGACCTCCCACAGGAGTCGGGGAGCTTGGCCCATTCCCCGGCCGCGCGAACCGAGGCCTCTGCCCCGGGACCGGTGGTCGGTTGGACGTGTCCGGTGTGTGAACGATCGTTCAGCACC